GTAAACAACAAGAGACAGTCGAACACTATTTTCTTCAATGTTCGAGCCATGTTCTAGAGAAAGTAAAAGTCTGTCGATACATTTAGGGCTTTTATTGTAATGTGATATTCGGACTCAGCACACTCGATTATCTATTGTGCACTAAGTTTCAGGCGAAAAGCGATGGGACAGTTGGTGGCCTTCCCTCGTCAGACATTTTCCGAAAACATTTATTGCGCATTGTATTTCTATAGCGTCTAGTATTCAGGGATACGCATTCTCTGAAAGTCCAAGCGTGAATGTTTTCTTCACATACGGCAAACGTTACCTTATTGGTGAGGCTCACGTTAGAATCGTAAGACATCAGCCTCTCTCACCTTTATTTCGATACCAGACTTTGAATGATACGGACAGAAAACTTCATTCGAGATGAAAATTTCTTTCACTAAAGTTATCATAACTCACTATTAACTTTTTAGAAATAGAGTAGCGCCATGGGCACGGGCGTCGTCTCGCGCGTGGTAAAAATAGTTTGCTAGTCTGTCATTGAATTTTATTCGAACAATAAAATCACAAACAGATTAAAACAGAAAAGACTCTCTCCAGTGTGTACAAACAAACACTATCTATAATCAGGAAAGAATGCTGACTCAACGAGAACTGAGTCAACATTCTTTCTGATCATGAGAAATGAATAGCAAAAGCGGAAAGAGGAAGGAATGTCAGTAACGACTGACATAACACTCCCCTCGTGGCTTCAAGATGAGCCTCCCGGCTCATCGCAAAATAATATGCACTGGTGGGAAGAAGATGAAAAATAACCAAGCAACAACAAGAAACTATCATTTTAAAGGTAGCGGACATTGTACGAGATTTATAATAACATATTCTAGTGCCATGCTGAGTAGTTTGACGTAATATGCCGCTGATGCCAATAACTGATGCGTGTGTTGACAGGATGAAGGGTGCTGTGGGATCCGGGTAGTGCAGAAATAATGGCTCGGTAGTTTAAATCGATCGAAAGCATCTTGTTGTTCTTTTTGCGAATAAAAGTCATGTTTCGTTGTCTTCGTTTTATTGGTTACATTGCAGTGATTTTGTTTCGCAAAAACGGTAACTTTCGATTAAATCGTCAATTGTTCAGATTTCAGACTCAGTGGCGGTTTTTCAGTTGATATGTTACCACCATTTTGCCAGTTATCAACCATAATTATTTCGGATGCATTAACTGTTTTGTATTCTTTAACATATGTCTGTAAAAACTTCGTCATCATATCTAGTGCATTTGGTTTTGAAAAGATACAGAAAAGGTTTTCCAAAATTCCTCTGGAAAGTCTCACGTCTGAATTTTCGAGAAACGAAGTCCAGAAAAATGTTCGTGTATCGTATGATACGTTTTCTGTCGAACAAAAATATTCTTATTCAAAACACGAAAATATAGTTATATGTCCGTCTTCTGTGGAATCAAAGAAGTAGTGGAAAAAACTCAACCTTTTCAAAAAATATTTTATTTTAGTTCTAGTTAGTTCTCTTTAACCATGTCGTGATCTGAAAGGTAGTATTATCATGAAGTGTTCATTACAATCGTCGATTAGGAAAACTCTTCAGTCTAAAGGAATTTAGTCTGATGTCAGTTAATGCGACACGGAAGGACGCTTATTTATGTCGTACTTATTTCAGTTATCTACGGAAGTAAAACTTTTGCATCATCATGTACGTCTACATTGTGATGCTTTATCAGACCTAAACATGTGGGTTAATTTCCTTGAAACACGTAATGGTAATGCATTATTCTTAGAATCCACATTCACTTCCAACATCGCATTGAATTTGTACACAGACGCTTCTGGCGGTGTAGGATTCGGAGAAATTGTAGGACGTGAATGGTTTGTAGGCAAATGAGAGGGTGATTTTATACCAGTTAGACAACATGTGCGTAAATCTTCACTCGTAGAAATTGTGCCAGTAGCTATAGCAGCCAAAATTTGGAGTGCTTTATGGACACGTCGTAAAATACTAATACATCCTGATAATGAGGCTTTAGTATCCATCATTAACAAAGGCTGTTCAAAATCGCCTGCAGTTATGCACTTTTCGAGAAGGTTAACATTATTAAAACTTGAAAATAATTTCTATTTGCAAGCAAAACATATACTAGGTATCACGAACACCATAGCCGACGCTCTATCAAGAACTGATTTTGCCAGATTTAGAGAACTAGTCCCATATGCAAATGAATATCCATATGATTTACCAGAATTTTATTTATCCCAAGCCATCATGTGGATATTTAGACACAACTATCATACTACACGCATTCATCATTTATTAGATGATTTTCTAGTGATTAATGCTACG